ACTAATGAAACAAGATGGAGTGAGACAGTAAAAAAAGGGGGAGCAAAGCTCTGCCTGAAAGGCAGATCAAAGAACAAAGCAGAGTTTTGTGCCCAAAATAATTGGACTTGATTACGGGGAGGGGAGCGCCTCTGGAGAATAAGATGGCAAAGAAAGGGAGATGCAGTTCAGGATCAAGTGGGATCGTGTGTGTATGTGTGAGTGTGTGTGCGTGCGTGTGCGTGTTATGTAAGGAATCCCCAGAGCAAAAACAAAAACATAACCCTCAGAAATCGGCCTGATCATATACGTTAACTTTTATTGGTTCCAAGTATCAGTCACAGATCATTTATAGCCAATATCTGATTCACCACAACACAAACAGTGTGAAGGGGTTATGCCTGTTCGACAACATATCAAGCAGACATGAGAAAAATGCTACTCGTGTCACTTTATCTCACACAGCATGTGTGTTCACTTCAGAAAGGTTTTATCTTGCTCTTTTACTGTGATGCTTCTCCCTTCGTTTGACCCCAATTTATCCAAACAGAAGTGAGTCAGTATGTGGGTTTGTGTCCCGATTCATGACTAACCAGCAAATTGGATTTTTTCTGGAACATTTCATTTGCTGCCACTGCCTGTAATTTTAAGAACTTATAGCAGTTTTGGTATGTGTGTGCTCCTGTATGCTGGAAGCAGCTAGCACAGCCTTGAGCTACAAGACTTACGCGGAGATAAGGAAGTCACGGAAAACTGGTGAGCTCACACCTTTCCAATCCTGCACTCCTTCAATCCCAACCAATGCTGACTCACAGCACATTACTTGAAGATATTTATCAGACTTTGCACAGCTCCCTCTGGAGCCACAAAAGCTTTTATACAACTTGTCCGTGTATGCAGAAGCACTCCCAGCGAGTTGTAGGAGACTTTGCTTGTAACAATCTGTGGAGTTTCTCATTAAGTCTGAAAGCCTGAGCCAAGGTAACCTGATGATGTCATAAGTGTTTTTTTAATCAAACTGTAAATGAGTCAAAGTTAATATTATATAATGTTGAAATCAATAGTTCTCCACGTGACGTGTAAATTGAAGAGTAAAATGTATGCCTCTAACCCACTGGTTTAACAAACAAAGGCTAACCTTATCTAAATTCAAATAATCTGTTCCTGAAACTAGAATATTTTTTCTTTTGCTTATTCTTCAATTCAGCCGAGACTGGAGGCCACCCAGGGTTCTGCTCAAGATTTCTTCCTGTAAAGGGATCCTCCCAACCCCACCACCAAAACAGGGACTGAAAAGATCCCCACACCTCCCCTTGGAAGCTACACGTTCACTACGTATACACACATTTTACACACATGTGCTACTTTATTATTGGCTTAATCAGAGTCCCGACAAAAGCTGAACCTTTAAGAACTTTAATACCAACAGCTTAATAAAACAGGGAGAGCTATGTCTGTCAGTAAGACCCTCTACTATGTGCATGTGTCAGTGCAACAAAATGACTGGCTTTTATGTTTTCTGTTTCAGCTTTGGATCATATTTAGTAGCTTTGCTGGATTTCTCTCCATAATAATAATGTAAGATTTATCTGACATGTAAAGTGCCCCAAGTGACTATTATTATGAAGTGGAGCTTTATGGTTAAAACTGAATGTAACAATTGAAAATAAACTGAATGACGCTATTCCTCCCTCTCCTCCTTATCAGGGTTCAGGTGTATAAGCAGAGATGCCAAGACCTCCCTCTCTCCAGCCACCTCTTTTACTCATTCTAGGGTACACTGAGGCATTCCCAAGCATGCTGAGACACATAATTACTCCACCATATCTTGTGTGGAGAGATTATGTCTGTGTCTGTTCCAGGGCCTTCTGCCTGTATCAGACACATGCCCAAAACACCACATACAGTGGGGCAAAAAAGTATTTAGTCAGCCACCGATTGTGCAAGTTCCCCCACTTAAAATGATGACAGAGGTCAGTAATTTGCACCAGAGGTACACT